GGAAGTGAAGTATTATGTTCTAAGATTCGTAAGCTAATTACTTCTATTTGGCATAAGGAAAAATTGCTTGATCAGTGGAAAGAGTCTATTACTGTACCAGTTCATAAGAATGGTGGTAAAACTGACTGTAGTAATTATTGGGGTATATCATTGCTATCAACTTCATACAAAATTTTGTTCAATATTCTTCTCTCAAGGTGAAGTCCATACATAAATGAAATTACTGGGGATGATTAGTGTGGGTTTTGACCTATCAGATCAGCTACTGATCCAATCTCTTGAATTTGTCAATTACTGCAGAAAAAATGGGAGTACACTGAGACAGTACCTCAGTTATTCGTAGACTTCAAGAAAGCCTATGATTCAGTCACAAGGGAAGTATTGTACAATATTCTGTTTGAGTTTGGGGTACTCATGAAACTAGTTAGGCTGATTAAAATGTGATGGTTTATTGCCACTTCTGTTCAACTTTTCTTTAGAATAAGCCACTAGGAAGGTCCAGGAAAACCAGGTGGAACTGAAATTAAATGGGACACACAAGCTGTTGGTCTATGCCGATGATGTGACTCTACTGGGTGATAATACAGATACCATAAAAACACACACAAACTTCGATGCTAGCAAGGAAGTTCGTCTAGAAGTAAACAGAGAAAACTAAATACATGTTGCTGTCGCATCACCGAAATGCAGGGCAAAATCATGACCTAAAAATAGGAAACAGATGTTGTGAAAATGTGTCACAGTTCAGATATTTGGGAATGATGATAACAAATCAAAACCTGATTCAGGAGAAATTAAGAGGAGATTGAACTCAGCAATGCTTGCTACCATTAAGTCCAGAACATTTTGTCTTGTCTGCTGTCCAAAAATATAAAAATTACAATATAGTAAACTATAATTTTGCCTGTGGTTCTGTACAGGTGTGAAACTTCATCTCTTGACATTAGGGGAGGAACATACACTGAAGGTGTTTGAGGACAAGGTGTTCAGGAGAATATTTGAACCAAAGAGAGATGAAGTGAGAGGAGGCTCAAGAAAACTGCATAATGAGGAGCTTCACAACTTATACTCTTCTCCCAGTGTAATTAGAACAATTCGGTCAAGGAGTATGAGGTTGGCAGTGCATGTAGCACGAATGGGGGAGAAACGGAATACATATAGGATATTGGTGGGAAGACTAGAAGGAAAGAGACCACTGGGAAGACCAAAGCGCAGGTGGGTGGACAATATTAAAATTGATCTTAGGTAGAGAGGATAAGATGGTATGGATTGCATTGATCTGGCTTAGGATATGGCTCTTGTGAATACAGTAATGAACCTTTGGGTTCCATAAAACACAGGGAAGCTTTTGAGTAGCTGCACAATTGGCAGCCTCTCAGGAAGGACTCAGCTCCATGAGTGAGAGAATTTTCATACATTTAAATTTAAACAGCTAATTGGAATTGAAATGCTCCACACATATAAGATAAAATTTTGATGGGAAGATCTATGGAAAGAAAAATCATGAGAAAGCCTTAGTACAGATGAGAAGATGCCATCTGTATCATGAAACACAGTTTGTTACACTGATGGAAACCACAAATGAAGGAAAACTCATCTAACATATTTACAGTAATAAGTGAACAGCAAACAATATATCAGAAGAAATGTCTTTACTAACACTCTTCTCTCAATGCTGTTAGGATAACTGTATCAATGTTACAATTGAATGGGCCTGAAAGACAAGAGAAAGAATACGAGAGGGGTCCCTAGTTTACAGTGATCCAATTTAAAATACCGAGAATGCTGCCACAGAATGCACTGGTGAGTTTCTCTGGTCCCTTTATTATGTTAGCATCAAGCTTTTGTTATTCTCAAGAATTCTGAAGATATTTTTACCTACTGAAACTACATAAAAAATAATATATTATCCTCTATTGCATTTACAGAAGTTAAATATTTTATACTATATGCAACAAAAAATTTGGTATATTTTTGGTTCCTTACATTATTTGCATCACAACTTGCAATGTATTACTGTTTTATTATTATTTTAAAGCATAAATTATTTACTACCACCACCACCTGAATTTTCCAACACAAGTCATTGTCAGCATTGCTCTGAAGCCATATATATATATATATTTTGAGAGGTCATAGGATTGGTCATTCTAATAAAATATGTGTTTATGTACATGTGCCCTATTCTGAACAGTTTGAGATAGAGCTATCTCACTGTATAGTATAGTATAGTATAGTAAACAGATACCTGTATTTACTGTTCAAGTAACAAAGTTGGTACGGCTTACCTAGTATATATAATACATTTTTGAAAATTCTGTCAACATCAAAGCCCTTTGCAACTCACATGAGGACATGGCATGTTCCTTGTCTGAGTGCATACTGATGTTCCTTTATGTGGGTAATAACATCCATAGCTCTTATCTCGAAACCTGCTCGAAATAAGACACGTACATATTTTTTTTTTGCTATGACCAATACTATGACCTCCCAGAATACTGACATGATTGGAGGTGCTATCCTGTATATAGCAAATTAAAAACCATACTAAATGAACACAAACTTTATTTAAAGGATAAAAAATGCAGTGAAACAAAAAGAGAACGGTCCCAAGTACAATATTCTCAATATACTTGTGTTTGAATATTGGTTCTTTAATAGTTCTCAGCCAGCTGTGAGGATATAGGGCACCACATGAATGGATAATTATGCATGATGAATCTGTAAAGGAGCAGAAGAAACCAGCCCACATTAGGCAATATTTCAGCACCTGTCTGGAGGGACTGAAGAAACCACTAGAAAATCCATCAAGGTAGCTGCAGTTTCCAGGTCTAAGTTTGAACTTACAACTTCACAAATAACAGAAAGAAAAAAAAATGATTGGAGAACCTTGGTTCCCAGGGTTATCAATGAAAACGTTGGTTGATTTCACATAATTCATAAATACCTTTGGGCACATTTAAAAATGTTGGATAATGTTGTAACGTTTGTACATGGGGGTCTGTATCAAGTGCCCCAACTATAGTTTGCTAGGCAATTGCCTGAAAGTTGGAATAGCAAAATATAAGCAGAAATCTGTTTTCTAGGCAACAGCTTGCTAAAACTCATTCTCATGTCAACAAACATTCATCAAAGATTTCCGTGGATATGAGGACTCTTGGGATCACCAGGCGTTTCCACTACAATGGATACAGGAGACTAATACCTTCTATTCAGTCCTCCCGAACTTATAAGAGGGTTAATTTGTGAATTCAATTCAATTCATTCATTCGTAACAGAATTCAGACGCAGTTGAATATTCAGCTGTGAAGTGTTAACCAGGTAAGACTGGTTACCGAGCAACTACTAGCAAGCAAACATTGAAGACTTTATTTTGTGATATAGTTATAGTAATCTATAGTGTTACAATTAAGCAGATAATTTTTTGTGTGTTCTCTATATTCACACTGTCATTCTGCATTTAACTTCCTTCGTTTGGGTACATTACTACAATTATCTTCTGATGGCATCCTTTTCCTGTACTCTCACATAAGCAGCATGATTATTAGCAGCAGACATCTTATCAGTGCGTGACATTTTATGCTGGCAGCTTGCCTATAGTATTGCACTGAATTAGCTGTATTTGTTACAAACAAATGGTTGTAACTCCTAAACCATAAGAGAGGGACCAAAATGGGTTGTATTTTTCAGAACCTCGCATTTATTAACGTATTTCACTCGTGATATATCCAGATCCATCTATGTGCTTCGCTGAGCACACTTCCAAGGTAATGAAGTCAACAACAGAACATTACTTACTTAGTAGCAAAGGTATCAAGAATTACAAATTGTTACAATTTCTGTTACATATGGATAAATTGTTATATTTACTGTTACTTACGGCCTCATTCCATTTGCACCCTCGTATAATATCGTTTTCAAAGTTAAAATGTTATTTTTGTGAAATATAACACAATGTAATGGGGTTATATAGAGGTTTGTAAAGGTTAAAAAGCAAACACAACACAGATATGGGCTGCTTATTCTGGAAGATGTTGAAATCCATTCCTGTAATTCTCTCCAGTACATGACACAAGAAAGGATGGTAATCCATGTCATTACTATGAAAAGCATAAAGATACCTTATGCTATCACAGTGGTATGTGGCCAACTCTCACGCTCTAGTGTGCTTACAAATCTTCCATAACACGTTATTCTGTATAAATAACTGAGGCATGTAAAAAATGGCTGATCACACTGGCTGCATCATCTAAGGCATGAACTGCCTTCGCTATTCTGAACTCTGGGATCATGTGTTTGAATCACACTCAAGGCATGGATGTCTGTATGCATTTATTCTGTTTGTGTTGCTGTGTGTATAGGTAGTGGCCTTGTGACAGGTTCATCCCTTGTCCAAGGAGCCCTACCGACTGGGTATAGGATTAAGAAACTGAAAAGCAGCCAAGGTACAACAAAGGGCTGTACAGCCATAAAAAGAGGTAAAAAGATGGACTTCTACAATACAGACAGTAATTCTCATATCACTGTCCAACTATAATGTTTAAAATCTGCAACAATTAAACAAGTTTTGAGTGCCTACAAATACATGTAATATAAAGTTATCACATGTTGAACAGCACGATGATTGTGATTTTTAGGAACGAACCAAATTATGGTTTCGTGTAATACTGGATGCAGTCAAGTTCATCAGTGGTTTTCATTAGCTGTTTTACAGGGACTGATTCAACTGGTGGTGAAACCAGTATGCATGCTGAGTAGAACATCTCATGCCATTTGACAGCATGGAGCAGTGAACTCTGATGACCTGCATGCTTGTTGTGAAAACTGTCTGCCAAACATCAGTTATTCAAATGGCATTTCTAAGGATGGGGTGCAATTCAATTTTGCAACATTAGTTTCATTTGGGTCCAAATAATGAGAGAGACTAGTTCTGTGAAGAGCAACAAATTTGTTACTGAACAGCTAACAGTTCATACCATAAAAAATGGAACACAACACTCTGGAAACGGATGTTCCACTCTGTCATGCAATAATGCTTCAGAATGTCAAAACAGTTTCTGGCAATATGATCAATAAACTGAATTTTGTATGGATGAAAGTTGGGGTCTTTGTGCAATATTTGGTGCACTATCAGAAATGCTAAATGCTATTACATAACATGTTCTTCAAAACTTCTGCATCAAACATAAATTAATGTTGCAAGGTGGAACTGTGCTTACTCTTTTGGAAGTGCATCTAAATAACTTACTTCTGAAAAACTTTCTACAACACTCAACTTGATACAGATTACTGTTCCACGATGAATATATGGCTGTACCCAGAATGCATAACATTTCCATCACCACTCTCACAAATCCAGAAGAAACAGCCACTGAGAACCATCAATGACCATACCCTGTAGCTCAGCACTTCAGAAAACATAAGGACCAAAAATCTAGCAGCATACTGAAAGAGATGCAACAACAAACGAACAAACAAACATAAGTAAAGAGAAAATGGGAAAAGTGAAATACTTCATAATTTTAATATCCTGAAATATGTTCAATGTAAGTAAAAAAGAATTTCAAGCATAGCTCACTCATGCACTCATTCAACACACATTCATATTTATATATTTATGGAAAGCTGGTAATATTTACTTCACAAAGAAGGGTGGGATATTAACTGCTGAGATCTTGGCCACTGAGGTACGCTGAAATACTTGCAGGTCATCTCACTTTATACATGCTTTGCACCTTTGTTCCATTTACATAAGATTATAACAACATAAATTCAACTCAAGAAATAAAAATAAATTACGGCATATCAAAACAACATAAACATTATCCTAACGGTAACTTTCTACAAAGGAAGCATCAATGTTCAACAAGTGACATCAATGTTGAACTGCAATAAACAAACAGCATTATCTTGAATAAAAATATAATTACGTTGCCTGAAGCAGCAATGCAAACATTTGACAAAGTTGTACTGGTTACGGTTTATACAACTCACGTGAAGTTGTTACAAAGAAGCCACATATACAAGAGCTATCATCACTATTATTAAAACATGGCCCCCACTGAAATATACAAAATAACAATTCATCTACCATTAATCAACTACTGGATACAAGATCATATTTACACACTTCTATGTACACAGGCAACCATTTTATACAATATAGTAATGATTAAAGTCAAAGTGTAAAATTTGTCATAGAAATGATTTTCGAATGGAATTGCATTGGATTCCACCAAGAAATGCACTACAAGTCAATGTGCTAAGACAATACTACTCTACGTCTATTACAAATATCTTCATTTGAGTTAACAGTATTCTGCAATAAGAAAATCAAGTTTGCACTTCCTGTTCTCTTGTCACCAGTCTCCATGATGAGCTATCATAATGCTGTATGTCCATAGCGTGGAGATTGTTTTTAGTTTCTTTCCATCGGCAATCTGGTGACAGTAGCGACACAGGCACTCACATCATAATGCAGACACAATTGCACTTGGGTTATCCACCACCCACACAATCGCACATTTAGTACAGTACACTCTTGCATCTACACTGCATCTGAACACAATAAATCTAGTTATCCATTCTTATTTAGAATTTATCCCTACTCCCAGGTGTAGGTCAGATCTCATTCTGAATGCAACCTAGCTGCAGGTACAAAAACACGGACAGCAACAGGCAAACTTTCAGGTAGGCCAGCAGACCGAACTGTAAGTCATGTTATTCAATGGACTATACAATTTACTTTTGTGTATTACTATAACTATCAGACGCAGTGGCAGTTTACTGACCCCTGTCATCACCTCAGTAACAAAGCAAAATCATAATGTGACAGCACATAGCACTGAAATCCTACTTAATGTTTCTGCTGGATGTAACAAATGAATTATTTATCTGTGGTCTGGGCTACTGGTTTTCAGCTTGGTAGTGCAAACCTGCTGTGATGGTAAAACACGTTGGTTTCAAAGGGATGCATTACACTAGCATGGAAACGTACAAGACAATTTCAACACTGACAGTGATGAAATATGACAATAATAACAAATGTTGTAAAAGACAAGTGAGTGAAAAGTAGCACACAGTCCCAGAGAAAAAACAAGGCATAATTAACACAGAATTTTCCAAAAGTTCACTGCAGTCATCTTCACATGAGAATGAGTTCATTCTTGAATACCATATACATACATACAATGGACACATATTACAGTGTTACACTGTTCAAGATGATTACATATTTTTCTTGGAAATAGTAATGCTGTCACTTATATATGGCCTAATTTATACATAATAGGATCACATCAGCAGCTACTGAGGATAGAGTTGTTCACTAATATCAGGTACAAAGAGAACGTAACAGGATGGAGAAACTGCATAATGAGGAGTTTCATAATTTGTACATTTCCTCAAATATGACTGGGGTTAGCAAATAGAGAAGAAAAGAAAAGGGCAAGATAAACAGCATACACAGTAGATGAATGCTTACAAAACTTTAGTTGGAAAACCTGACAGGATGGCTGCATACAAGAACTAGATGCTGGCTGGAGAAAGAAATTAGAATGTGTCTTACAAAGAAAGATGAGAGGGTGTTGGCTGCATTCATCTGATTCAGGATAGGACAGAGGCAGGTTCTTGGGAACATGGGAATGAATTTTTAGGTTCCATAACAGGTAAACAATTTCCAGTTGCAGTTCCTTCAGAATGCTTACAAAATATGTGGTAGCACAATCAAACACATTCAGATTTAATCAATATGCCACAAAACCCCCTAAATTAAAACTGACCCCAAACCTCCCCAAAGTAAGCGACTGTGTCTCATCACTAAGCTCAGGTGTCTTCCATTTAAACTATTTTTAAGTATTTTACCTGCATGCAGACCATGTGTGACACTTCTCCTCATACATATGACAGGAACAAATTGTAAAGCACCATAACAATGCCTCTACTGGCTTTCTAAGCATTCTTTTGCATTAAGTGCCTAAAACGAACATGTAACAGGCATTCATATCTGATCAAAAATACTTGATGGATTTCAATAAATTTGCCACTACAGGACTACACCACAAGTAGTAACATTCATTTAATTACATTTTGTACTGGCAGAATATAATCCTCCCTTTACACGGAGTTCAAATTAAACTACACCTTTTTTTGTCAGAAATTGTTAATTTGTTAAAAGATAAGAACATAAGCCTCATTAATAATAATAATAATATTGTATATAATACATATTAAACAGAATACAAGGGAAAATAACTTCCAACTATGCAGCATTATGTCTACTTTGGCAGCAATACATTTGTAGTTGCTACAGATGAATAAGAAGACCAATGACATATGCAAAATTGCAAATAATGCATTTAGAAAAATCCATTTACTCCAAATGGGATTATATCTTTCAAATCTTGTTGCAGTTTGTTTCCATCACATGCAAGGAAAAGTTCCTGAAATTGAATATATTCTGAAGTATGACAATAAGACTATAATATACTGGTTACTGCATGTATAACCAGTATTTTTAGATGTAATTTAAATTCAAGTTGAAACAACTACTGTTAGTTTGAATACATCTGTTAATGAAGTTAAAACAGGATCAAGGATCTGATTTAATAATAATTACAATATTCCCTCACTAATGAGGTATCTTCAATGACAACATTCATTATCAACAACAGTATACTCGTACACTCACAATCTAATTGCAGAATCGGGACTGCACACAGGTAACATATCATTTATGCTCTGAAATTGTTCATGAAAAGCAGCATACTGAGCACAGCAGTGTCAAATGAAACCAATTTTTCAATAATTCATGTGTAAATACAGCTTCATACCACTTTTAACAGTATCTTTGATACCCAAATATATGCAAATAGTGTAACACTCTGAACTATGGATATTGTAAAAAAGTACAAACAAGTGAATCAACTGTGCAAACATACAGGTTCAGGATGACTGTCATGTATCACAAAGTTCCATAGAACTAAATAATTTTCCCAGCTGTACAACATTTATGAAGCTACAATAAATCCACTCCTATGGGCATCACAACAAATACTCTTCAGTACAGATTGGGTCACAAATTCATGCAATTCTTTTCATCAGCAGTTACTTAAATAAGGCCTTCAATCTGTCCCACATTCCAATTTAATCTAATACAAACTACTTTCCTTTCAAGCAATCGTTTGACTGAATAACACAATGGAAGATTAAAAAGCTCGAATATTTGTACATTCCAACATGATTAAGTTACAAATGATAAAATCTTAAACTGAGGCTAAAAGATTCAATATTATTATGACCATTTCTATCATATAGTGTTTCCCCAAATGTTTCCCATCCATGTTGGGGTTTCTGCAACATATTAACATTACCATACTGATGATGGATTTATCTGTGTGTTGGCATGATGTTTCTCCAATTTTTGGTGATCAAAATACAGATTTCCTACGCCTTTTTGCACAGTACTTTTATATTAACACAATACCAGCCTCACCCTGAAGTACTTTAGATGAAAATGAATGCTACTGATAAAGGCTTTGTACTTTTTTGCTTAAAACACACCTAAAAGATTTCAGGATCTATTACTGTTATTACCTCAATGATATGTGCCATAAAGAAACAATGCAAATATTTGTAATCCTTACCAACAATCACTTGTACAGTCAAGCAATAAGATGCAGCATAAGCAAACTAATACAATCAGTAGTCAACAAACTGCACTACAATGCTCACTGAAATCTTCCATTTATAAGCAATGTAACATGGGAATCAAGAAGCAATTTGACAATTTCAGCATTTAATCAAGCAGCACAACACATATCCCTTATCCAGCCCAAAGGGGAATGCTTGTTAGGATAATATATTCAATGAATATAGGCTTTGTCTGTGGCACTACCATGAAGCTAGGGTGTGAAATAACCTTCAAAATGGTGTCTGCTAGAAATCTGTTGAAACTATGATAGCTCTAGCATCCTAATAGGGCACATATGTCATAAGACAAAAATGCAAAATGGCAGACTGGAGAGGCAAGGGAGATCAGGAGAAAAATTATGAGAGATGCAATTATGAAATTATGACTTACAAAAAGATTATAATATCAGTTATCATGAAACACCTCATTTCATTAAGAAAAAAGCTGTTAGGATATTGCCATTAAGACCACTCACAGCCATCGAAGTACCGACATTCCACAACTGTGGACATATCAGTGCATTAAATGGGTTATGGTTGTGGTCTCATGTCATCTGGGATGGAAAGAAAACGATTTTCTGAAGCAACCTGAAATATATAGTAAGTGGCAAGAAATATTAGGACACCCTTCCAAAGGAACAAACAGCTATGGTACAGCTTTTATTGTAGACATATGATATTGCCCATACTTTCCTCTTGTCTGTCTTTATAGTAGATCTGTTCTGAAAGAGCTGCAAAATCGTCTTCAAACACTGAATGCAGTGTCGGTAGCTAACTTCTATATGAACAGTTCCATACTGCAGAAATATACTTGTGAAGAATACCTCATATTTAGTCCATACTACAGTTCCCTTTCAATTCCACGAAAAGCATGACTGAGATTTAACTATAACTACACAAAACTTTTTCAAACCACTTGGTACTTAGCCAGCTATAAATGATGCTGGAACATAAGGTAAGAAACTCCACAATTCAATATGACTAGAAACAAAAATTGTATAAAAACGTGTAGAAAAATGCTCTATTTTAACAACACTCATCCAATAATAAGTTCAATAAGATTAAAGGAATTTGGCATCTCTGAGATTCAAACTAACAGTACATGTTTTCTACATATTATGTAGTGTGAAGAAACAGTGAACAGAATTCTCCCTTGGGCAGGTTTCTGCAGTACAGTACAGTTTTCCAAAACTAACTCTTGATGTATAAGGATTTCCTTACCATCTCTAAAACAGGACCCATTAAATTAAATTAGGTATGCGAAAAGTATAACAAAAAGTCGAAAATAAAGTACAACCAACTTACAATGTAATGATTAAAGGCAAAGACAGAAACATAATTATCTACATTGACAGCAGCACTTCCTCAATCAGTCATTTCTCCCTGGCATCTTTGGTACTGCACTTCTGAACTCTTTTTTGACAGAGTTCTGTGCCACATAGTACTTACATTAGACCCACTGTCCCTACATTCAAGTTTTGAAATTAAACCTTCATTACAGTTATAGAAATTAGTACTATTGGAAGCAGGTCAATAAATTACATTTAATTATGTAACAAAATTTTCTATAGCAAGAGAATGATTACCAATTTCTCATCCCTAATCCAAAATTGTGTCACTTTATAAAATACAAGGAAGTATACACAAATAATGAAGGTACTGAGTGAACAGATTATTTTTACAGTTTTAATGGAAATAAGAAAATATGGAAACAAAATAAATGTACAAGGTTTGTACCATTTCTGGGGGGGGGAAAAACCCAAAAGATTTGACCGAGTGAAACTCAGAAAAAAAGAGTTCCAGTCACAGGCAGCACAAATCTTGTACATGAACATCATTTCTGTACATATTTTGCTTTAAAGTTGTAAAGATTGCTTGCATTTACCCTGCACTTCAATAAGATTTTTAATGAAAACTTAACAGCGGAACATAAAACATTATTCTATTCAAATATTAACAAATGGAGCTATGCAGGTTTCAGTAGAAAGGCCTTACAACTTGTACCAGCATCCATTCAACAAAGCCTTATGCTAGTGAGTGTTATAAATTCCCACAATCCACAACATGTATTAAATCACAGGAGGGCCAGGAACCACAGATATGAACAGTTTCATGTTTCTGATATTGGTGTAAAATATAACAATTTCTTGATAAAAAAATTCATTCACAATCGAAAAACATGACACATTTACCTGGGAGTAGTTGGCTGTATCGCTTAATTCTCAACTAATTCACGGCACATAATATTTGTTCGTTTCACTGTTCAATGATTTAGTACAAGTATTGAGTCATTTGCACGAAAACAGAACCCACTCTGTCAGTGTATGAGATGGGAGGGAAGAGAGTTTCTTGATATCACCTGACCTTACCTCCTGCCACAAGGATAGGAAAACCAAGCACAACCATCATCACTTGAGGAAAGCCTTGTACAGTAAAGGTGTCCGACATGTTTCCTTTTCCTGTTCCAAGAGGAAGAGAAGATCCCGAAGATTGACTCTCTTCAGACGTGGCCGGATAGGAAGCTAGTATGAAAAACAGAATCAAATATTTAGTCATACGTACTTGGGTTCTCCACTTCCTCAAACGGAAACATGGCATCAGATTTAAATTTACTTCACTGCATACTAATAACAAGCCTGACTTGTAGGTGCAGCACAAGGGACACCAAGAATCTGCCTCAACCCCTTTTGGGCATTTTAACAAAATTCCAATACCATGACGTATGTCATTTACAAAAAGTCTTGAGGGGCAAATATGTTACTTCCTACAGCTTCACCAGGGATCTGCATGATCATGTTTCTGCCTGTTATTACAGTTATAAATTATAAATAGATAACGAGGAGACATTTTTAGCAGTCAGTAATAAACAGAAAATATTTGTGTTCATAATTAAGATCTTCAGAAATTTCACTTCAATTACTTGCATGTCATAGAAACATGCCCAGTCCAACCCAACGACATAACAAACACTTTTAGTCTTTACATCACTTGTGGGAAGACATCTTTTGTTGTAGTGCAAGAATAATATCAAAATACATGCTAACTGTAGTTAGTGCCTCGTAACTTTAGCCGCACGGAAAGGTAAACGGTGTTGAGGAGCATGCAAAACTGTACGCTTGCTGTGGTGACATTCAGATCTACTCCCTGAGCAGAAAACATTGCCTATGGAAACCACCTAACAAGCAACACAATGCATTATACACCTGACCAAACCCCAAGATGCTACATTCCAAACTGGTAGTACCCACGCTGACGTAAGCTGATAATACTGATATATGTGGGGTTAGGGATCTGTATGCCAAGTAAAATATTTTATTTAAGGGGATATCCCGCTACAGTGTAGAAGTGGGTGTGTGTATGTTGTGTACGTCTTGTTGCAGAAATTCTATGTAATAAGACCGGTATGTGAGGCCCAAAGACAAGTTTCAATGATGTACAAGTTTTGATGGTATGTGGGTATTTGGTATGGAATTCCCACGCCATGTATCCTATATATAAAACTTGCAATGTGGTGTGTGTTTCTTGCCTGGGTGTATACACGTTCAGTGTGTACGGTGTGTTCTACATTGTGCGGTGGTTTTAAATAGATGTTTTAATAATGTTTCAACATTTTATATGTACACTTTTATTCTATCTTTTATCTTTATTTTTTATTCTCCATCATGTATTTGCTATTTTAACTATACACTAATCTGAGGCAAAGTTTTTATGTTAATATTCAATACAACGCGTTGCACGGATGAGGATCCGTATCAGTATTTCAATAAGTATATGTATTCCTGCCTGATGATGGTCATGTATGCCCGAAACATGTNAAAAGAAACTAATTTCAATACATAACTGCTGATCCCTACGAACACGCTTTAATTTCCTCAAATGTTTAAAATGTTTTGAATAAATTCTACGTTTGGGAGATAATTAAGTTTACNTTTGATGGTAGCATAGTTCCTACATATTGTATATTGTCTGAGACATACAACAGGATGCAACCAATGGAAATACTTATGCATACTTACTACAACTGCCACCACGAGCACTACAATTACTGGTTACTGGTGCTGCCGCTACTGCTACTACTATTATTACCACTACCACCACCACCAATGTTGCTGCTACTACTACTACTGCTACTACCACTACCACCACCACTACTACTACCTGTGTCCGACTGAGGCTGTTATTTGCACCGCTGGATCCACTGGCACCAGACTGAAACAAACAAGAAAAAAATTGATCTAATAATTTCCATTTCTTGTATGTGACTCAAACCCACATACTACGCCACAAAGGTCCTTGTTACATAATGCCATAATTACCTGCATACTTCATCTGGTTTAGAGCATTTTATTTTCTAAAATTTATACGTAATATTCTTCCATAAACACAAGAATACATACACATACAAAGCAACAAGGGAAATTACTATCTTACAAAGACCAACCTCTGGTATTTTGGAAGGACAAAATGATAACTTTTTAACTAAATAATATAAAGCACTATCAGAATTCATTCTTTTCCTAATTTCATTCCAAAAATAGCTTCTTTTCACCGAGTCATCATGTGTAATCAAAGTAGTGATAAAGAAAGCCATCTTCTGGGATGTGGCACTGTGTATAAATTCTGTTAACACAATTTCTACACGGCACCACATCCAAGAAGATAGCTTTCTTCATAGTCACCGCCGTGAAAATCTCAAATCTTACAAAGCAGTTACAGTCCACATATGCATAATGTATATTGTCTGTGCACTGCACAACTGTCATATCACATGCACTGGTTAAACAGGCCCCAACATCCCTATTGTCAACACTGAAATCCAATTGCTCACAAATTTAAGTCTGGATGCCAACACTGTGGTAACAGATTTAAATCTGTTAGTGGAGTGCAGCATAATCTTCGTAAGGCAGGTAGTGATGTTATGGTCCTCTAGCTTCTGTTACCAGGTGGTCTTATCAGTGGATACCAATTTTCCAATGCAGTGACATCCATCAATAAAAATTTCACAATCCAGAAGACGATAATCTAAACACAAACTGCCATGAAAACCTCATCTTATATAATTTCTTCTTATAATGTTTATACAGATTTTATCTCATGTCCTGGTTTCATGTTTTAGTCCTTCTTGTTTGTTTCTCATATTCTGTAGGAATCTCATTTCCACGGCTTGATCTGTTGACATCTCTTAGTTCATGTCCAAGTTTCTGATTCATATGCCCAGTAACCACAAAATACACATATACTTAGAAGGTGCGAGACAAAATTTTTCAGTTTGAGATGACGTCAAGATCAGAATTTGGAAAATATAGAGAATTTTCTCTAGCAGACCAAAGTGTTCCGCTGTATTTAGACACCTTTTCAGTGTAACCCATAAGATGATTCCAAATGTAAAAAGACTAAAAACTAGGAAATACTAAGAGTACATGGAAAAAGTAATTTTATGAATTTCATATTCTTGCAACAAATCTGTGAAAGAAAATGTGTATTAGAAAACATGTTACATATGAAATTCTGTGAGCTATTATCCTCTTGATGTCACTAGCCTTTATTCAGTTTCACCATTCCCATCGCCCGTCTCAGCTTCAGTGTCTTCAGAGTTCCCATGTTCATTAATATTCCCCACTCCTTTCTTCTCCTTCCAGCCATTTCACTAGATACAGAGCACTTTCTAAAACATTTTACTATCACTTCTGGAGAGATGAACTCCCATGATCTTGTAGATTCTAAAGGGTTCTGATGATGGTGGATGACACACAGAATTACTGGGTTTTTGGACTTTTTCCATCATCCAGAATTCTAGGTAATAAGAGAACATGATGTTTCCATCTTCAGGTGAGAAGGGAAGACACCTACTCAGTGACCTCTATTACCTAGAATTCTGGGCAATGGAAAAAGTCCAAAAACCCAGTAATTCTGTGTCCCACGATCTTCATCCAGTGGTGCAGCAGTTCTACACTGGGCTTTTTTTGCTGTCCCAGTAGCATCAGAATGTGGTCCCCTGCCAAGAGCTGTGCAGAATATGGTTATTTAAAATGATCCCTAATGTCTTTTTCACTAGAATGTGTAGCTGTGGGGTTGTCCCTAGAGGTATAATCATAAGGTCAGTATTCACTGCATGAATCACAGATCTGATATCCCATGTTACTCAAATTTAAAATGCATTGTTTAACTTCTCAACAATACTTTGTCTCCTGTTCCAGACAACTTGTAATGAATCCATCAGCAGTTCTTTCAGTCATCTGTCATTAAGTCTAATACCTGATTATAAGTCCCATAGGATGTTGCACCTTACATACAGTTTCTCAATTAAATGTTACATATTGTGGTAGTTTCATGTTGCCTGCCAACTCTGTCAACATTACAGCCATTTAACCATCTTTTCACTGTCAGATGTTCTAACTCAACAGACTTTACACTTATGTCATCAACTGGATGTATTTCAAAATACACTGGCACTTCACCATCATTGCCTCAAAGTGTAATGGAAATTTCTTCCGAAGTAAAAATATCCGCTGCAAAGAAAATATGTTCCTCCACATCACCTGCAAACCCCGCACTGAGCTGAACTTAAAATTTCGACCTCCCATTCAACGATAATGTTGCAAGAAAGTGTAATTCCATTGCCTCTGAATCCATGAAACTTACAATTTTCATATAAAATTGGCACAAGTTCCTGTTTTTGTTGTTTCCACCTTCAGGAGACATTACATTTTACCACTATTTCACAGATTTTTTCCCCTGCATGTTTAATAACCATACTCTTGAAGTACAAATCATAACTGCAGCACCTGGTGTGTTCTGATACATTATTCTGTTTGCACTGGCACATCTTTCCCTAACATTATCTGCAATGCTTACAGTGAACAATTCCTTAAGTCTCCACAGAATCCAATGATACAAATCAGTGAATTACTGCTTTTGATTCCTAACTTGGACGGTACTTGGGCAGCTTCTAGCCTTGAAATATGCCTCTGTATCTTGTTCGCTATTCTGATTACATGTGAATGCAAATTTTGAAATAAAGATGCTAAAATTTCTGAAGAACTTTAAAATGAATGCATGCATGCCCTTCCCTGTAACTCAAGACTATGTGTAACTGACTGACGTAGCATACTTGTCCTGAACAGCCTGCCATTCCACCAGCTTCTAGTTTTGGTTTCTTTCTAGGTCCAATGGCTTGCAGAGCTGTTATGTTGGCTTCCCGCTGCCGCAGTTCCTCCATTTCTGCTCGCTGCATCTGTAAAATGAAAATTTCATGCACTCATTACATCACAGTATAAAATACAGTTAAATATGTCCATCTTATATGGAAAATAATGAAGCCTTACCATAAACGAAACCAGAATACAAAATTTAAATAGAACCTCACAATGCATGAAAGGGTGTAGGGGTGTCCAGCTGCAGTCTGCTTTGCTTCTATCACTCATATATTGGGCATACTGTTACACTGACAAATCAAATGGAGGCTCTTAAAGTATTTAGGATGTTCGTGGAATTCTAAAATGTTCTTTGATTCTCCTGATTTCAAGTAAAATGCCCGAGTTCCTCAGTATTATGACTCCTCAGATGTAACGAGTACAGCCCACAACAACAATTTTGTCTCAGTGAGCATTTTCTTTGCTCTGCCAATGTAATTACATTAAACACAGCAGTATTAATTTGTTGAAACAAGAGTACTTTTTTCAGAATTTTTGCTGTATTGAGCATTGTTCTCCTTCCAGATTCACAAAAACATATATCTGACAACATAGATCTGCTGCTAATTTCTATTATTTCACAATCACAAGAGCATTCTTAGGAACACTGCATTCTTGCATCTTCACCCATTAGGAGCATGGATGAACAGACAGCATGTGCAAGAGGGTAGCTGTCAATGTATCAAAAGGAATAACAAAGCAAATGTTTAACATGTCTTCTCCTTGCAATTGCATGGCCTGGTTCAGTCACAGCCCAGCCTGAGTTGTTCCATTTCCCTCTAGCCCAAGAAATAATATTCTGTAATTTTGGCAGTCATGCAGATGGATGAGATAAACTGGTATGACAACAGTGAGATGAACATGGCAGCAGTCAGAAAACAGCACAAGTTTACAGGAAGTAAGGCAGTGGACTAAATCCCAAAAACTCAACCAAAATCAAGATTATGATTGTCTGTGATGTCATGTCATGCAGTTTGGTAAATGGGTACCAATGTTTGGGAAGTTGAACACTGGAGCATGAGAGAACCAATGGTCCTGAAAAAGGCTGTTATGCAAGAAGTGATGATAAAAAAAATAAAGCTATCCCTGTAACAGGCCGTGGAGGCCCGTAGGGTTGTGAGATGTTGAGGTTCCCACATTTTCTAGACAGTTGGCTCATAGATGGCAACGTTGTCAGCCTTACGCGCCGGCCGGCCGCCCTTTACCCCCAAGAATATTCCTGGTACTCATTTCTGTTAGAGGCTGAGTCAACCCCAGGGTCATAGTGTGGCTGGAAGGATTAGGTCAGTTGAAAAAATCCAATACTTTCCAGCTTGTAGCATAGTGCCTCAATCAACTATGCTACCACGTGCCCCCAGAAGTGATGATAATGGGGAAAAATACTCAGAAGTGTAAAAAGGAAGAACAGTAAAAAATAATAAAAATAACAACCCCTCCCAGTCATTCCTTGCATGACTTATATTCTACCCTGAAGATGGGGGGGACAGGAACCTCTGAAATGTGTGTACCCATCTACCAATGCATATGCTACCCCATTCCAGAAGACCATAATCTTGATATTCAACGTGAGAACCATCCGTAACATGAACTACCTGAAGATGACACATTTATTTTAAAGCACGAGGTATAGTCATTAACTGCGTGCCGATTCACTGTATTTTATTTTTTTTATTGCTAGTGGGGTGGGACTAAGTCCCTTGTACTGCAGCCACTTCTGGCCTATTGTACCAGCCCAGATAGGTGAGGGTGATTGTGGAGCAATTAGTGGAATGAAGATTGGCAGGGGACACTGAAGTACTCTGAGAAAACCTGCCCCAGCGCCCCTTTGTCCACCACAAATCCCACTTGACCAGACCTGGGATCGAACCCGGGCTGCCGTGGTGGGAAGCCAGCGACTAACCGCTTGAGCTATGGCACAGCCCTGATTTACTGTAAACACAAGATATATAGAATAACACATGCATGAACATGCACCCAATAAAATAAAAAACCTTTGCATATGTATGATACCAGTTTTTAAACATAAACCTGCAACCAATGTGATATTATGCTGTTTTGAAGTTCTGGCCTAAGTTGCTAAATTTATAACTTACGTCTGACAAACACACAGGCTTGGGATGTGATGATGCATGTGTACTTGTTCATGCTGTTTATTCTGGATATGACCCTGTACACATCTGAACAATTTTGTATCCAACATTATACTGCAGACAGTCCGTATTTAGAAACCGAAATTATAACATATGATATGTTACTACACCCAACTATCATTATGAATTCAATCACTGCTCACTTCTTTGGCTTTAGCCTTCAGTTTCGCTTGCTCTGGATCTTCAGATTTCGATCTGCTTTTCGCTGCTCGGAGTAACAACTCTCTCTCCTGTTCCTCGTGCCGCTTCCTCTCTACACGATCCAATTCTTCAAGGAATTTGAGCTGACCTTTGACGTCCTGCGTCACTTCATATCTCGGGTCCACCTGTAGATGAATATATCAAGTGCAATGTTATAATTCAGTTTGCTCAAAATGTAATTGTAATGAATTTTATGGAATTAAATGTAACATACACCTTTCATGAAAACATACTTACAGTAACAGAAAACACATTCACAGTATGATTCATGGACTTAAATTTTCAAGGATGCAAGCCTTTCAGAACCACCTGCACCATCTGACTGCACCACATTCTGGTATCAGCAGACCAATTACTGTAAACACCCTAATAATGCTTCACATTTTACTATGCTGAGCACAGCCACAGTCACTCTACAGTATCAGGATGTTGCACAGTTGGTGAGAGCGTTTTGGGAAGGATATTTTGAGTTAAGAGAGATGAAATAATAGAGGGCTGGAGAAAAAGAGTATGTACACCTCACTAAATATCATAGAATGACAAGGTCGTGCAGGATAAGATACGCATGCCATACAGCACACATGAAAGAGTAGTTTTGGTACGAAACCAGAAAAGAAAGAGGCTACTAGGCAGAATAGATGTAGATGGGAGGTATGGGCTAGATCCATCTGGCTTAGAAGAGAGATGAGGGCAGGCTTTTGTGAACACTGTAATACACCACTGGTTCCACAAAATACTTGGAATTTCTTGTGTGGCTGAGCAACTGCTGGCCTCTCAAGATGGAGTCAGTTCTGAGTTATTTACTTGTAGAACCTCCATACTTGCATCTCACAGAATTTCAGTGCTTTCGCTTTATGGTGTTCATGCTTTCACCCAAGAACTTATCTCACCAGAAATGACTTGATGTGTCCCACTCAATTCCAAATCATCTTATTTTTTGGACCCTCTTAATGGCATTACTAAAGCAGAACTAAAAAGCATGAAGCATCTCATCATTTAAGTTTCATTTAAGTATATTTCAATTAGCCTAACTAGATTCATGAGTATACCAAATTCAGTAAGAATGTTGTTCAATACTTCTGTCCTGAGGCAGATGACGCACTGTCCCATTCTACTTACTCCTATAAGCACTGTACTGTGATCATGGAAAAGGGGGAAAAAATCCAGAAAACTGATGGATTTACACATTTTCATCTCCCCCTGGTTAGAAAAAGTTGTTTTTGCTATGCCATCTGTCTGTCTGTGTGCACATGTGAATGGCTGGATGGATTCGATTTGTATTTAGAATACAACAGTTCATCAGTCCTACATTCATGCCTAGTGAATATGGGCATTCCATCTCTAAAAATAGGGATCTTCAGACGGGCCCCAAACATCAAAACGGCTTTTATGGGTTTCATTAAATCTGATTAATTTATGGAGACCATATTACAAAATAAAACTGCAAAGGTGGTATCTGAATAAAAATAATGGTTTGTTCGCTGGTGGCCCAAACATAAAATGTCAGGTTTCTCAAAACTGGCTTTACCAGTCACACAAATTTTCTTATGTGGTATTCAGCAAACAACAATGGTCTATTGTGCAACAGTCAATTTCATTTTGAATGTAACAGTCAAGGTCATTGATGTATTAGAAAATATGTGCTATGTCTTTGAACTTTTTCCTTCTGCCAGTATTTGACAAATGCTAAATATTCGATCAGTATCAAAATCCACACCACTCATCTATATTATCCACTACAGTCCATTTATGAATAACTACATAAACAGAGTTCTGTCTTCAGGGATATAATGCTGTGTGGTCTGTTGAAAGTTATCCCATGCTTCAGATGAATGTGTCACCTCCATCTTCCTGGTAGAAGAATAGGCCAGGCAAGAACCCAAATTGAAGCAGGCAGCATTTTTCAGCAGTGAAGATGAGGTGATGTTCCTCTGAAAATTCATTTGTCTTTACACAGACTACATAGCACCATATCCCAGAAGACAAAACTCTTCATAACTACCACTAAAACAACCTCAAATCCTACAAGTGCACTAACACAGTCCTTACAATGTGACAATTATTTTTCCTTTCCCAAAACAGGATGAACAAGTACGTGGATAACGGTTTAATGGCATTTTTAATTGCAAACAACTAGGTTCAGGTACTAATAAGAAAGTAATATGCATCAGGCATGCCTAACATCATTAAATCCATGCACACCTAACTGCTGACAGAAGAAACTGTTAATCTAAAGAGAACAACATAAAATAAATGAATAATAAAATGTGACAAAGAAGAGAGGAAAACCCTATAACTTACAAAAATCAAGACACCTGATTCAGACTACCTGACTTTTCCATGTGTGCGCTCCCCCTACTAAACTGATGTGCAGTGTCTATGTACCTCCCACAGCAAAGAGCAGGCACGTGTATTACTATCAGTTCACCGTACTGTGTTCAAGTGAATTTACAGAATGTGAACTCCACACAGCATGTTTAAAAAATTGATCATGTGTTTAGTGCATATTTATCACAATACATTACCTGTGTGAAGTGTAAGCAAAGGCTTGTGAATATAAAAAAAAATGAGGGGCAAAAACCACAAACCTGGGTGCTCACACATTCTTCTCACCTTAATTAGATCTATCCTGTGCTCAGCAATAACTGCCAACTTTTCTATAATATTTTTCAGCCTCTCCTGAGTAGCATGGGATATCAGAGCAGCCACTTCTGCTGAAGGTTCTTCCAATCCATGCCGTGCAACTGAAAAGAAAAGAAAAAAAGGTTAGGGAGATTTGCATGTGCAACTGCAGAATACTCTTTCACTACCGACCCTAATACTGCTATGATTAGCTCTATTTCTGATACCAGGTGACTCAGAGTTAAAGCATGGAATTATAAGAGATTTCTCTACATAATGGAGGGCACCCAGTAGCGTAATTGGTTGAGGTACTATGCTACAAGCAGGAAGGTCATAGGTTCAAGTCCTGAGGTCACTGGATTTTTTTCAATTGACATAATCCTTCTGGCCGCACTATGGCCCTGGGATTGACTCAGCCTCTAACAGAAATGAGCACTACGAATATTCTTGGGGGTAAAGGGCAGCCGGCATGTAAGGCTGACAACCTTGCTGCCATCTGTGAGCCGACTCTCTAGAAAATGTGGGACCCCCAACATCTCACAATCCTATGGGCCTCCACGGCCTGTTATAGGGATAAGTTTACTTTACTTTCACTTTCTCTGCATAATGTAGTTTTTCCTTTATTACTGGAACCGTGTTTCACATTTATCAATCTGAGGTCTGTGGGCTGAAGCAGAATATGGGCATACTAGCCTAGTCGTGCAACTTACCAATTTGTCTAATTTTATGTTGCAGAGGCACAGCATGGAGGAAAATTTCATCTTTACAGGACCGTATTTGTGTGCCCACAAATTCTGTGGAGCCCAATATTCTCTGGGTCTCCTCAGCCAGATTTACACCACCCATTGCAGCCACATCATTGATGTCATCATCCCCTCTGCAACAGAATGCACTATGTACATCTAACAGAACTAGGCAGTGATTTGTATAGCTTATGAAACATACACCCAGTAACAAAAGCCAAAAGGTCAGAGTAAAATGAAATGTTCATCGGAGTTCAAAGAAACCTGGGCATCCCAGCTCCACACTGTGTAATACTTTCATTCCGGAACATAGCGTTTTCTGGAGTACTGATATTACCCTTACACTAACCAATTCAGTGTTATCACATGCAAACTGATCATGCCTGACACAATTACAACATACATTAATTCCCGTTTGCTCACTCAAAAGGTAATTTCTCCATTACACTGCTGTAGATGGTAGTGAAATTCCCACAGGATATGAAAGAAAAGGTGAGATATAATCCTGTCTACAAATTTTATTTGCAACCCTAAATAAATGCCAATGCTCAGTGCATAGTCAGAGTTCAATAAATAACTGTGACTTCTGCTGTAAAGAAGCGAGACACAATACATAATACATACAGATGAACAAAAAACATTCAAATTTAAAAATCCAACCCAAACAGTACAATATAAATAAACAAAATTAAATTAAAAAGAAGAGGGCTTGGTCCAGAGGGTAAGTATCATTTAAATGTCTACAGCAGTGACTATGCAGCATCCAAATTCAAAATTAGTGCGGCTTATCCAGAGTTGAGACAGAGCTACCCACAGATCTTAAGTCTTTTACATTCAATGGCACCAACCACAAAATTCACATTTTCTGTTGATGCTGCTTATCATACTGGGCTCTACCATAGTTATGTTATTTTTAACAAAATATGGTAGTAACAGCAACTACTAGTTGCTTATTTAGACCAAAGTTTTCAATTTTGCTTTAACAGTAATATACCATTGAGAGAAGTCTGACCCCAAATGAAACTGATGAAGCCATAATATTTTAATAGCTACAGTTGGTATAGAAAGAATGTCTATAATAAATTGTACAGCTAATTTTTTTAAGTATTTTAATTTCTTCATGTAAGCAAATCTACCATGTCAAGTCGACAGATTGCAGGGGCATGCTGAGCATGCCTTTCTGACCTGCACTACACTATCCCTTTATTCGATGCAAACAAAGAAAACAAACATCATAAAATCATTCTACTGGTTATAATTTAAATTAAATTAATGTTTTCCAATAAAACATAATGCAACATACGCATATCCTGCGGATGAGAAAGACTTTTTCTCTTTCTCCTTTGCAGAAGGCTTTGGTAGAAGCGAAGGTGCAGGTGGTTTTGTCACTGTAGACATCTTGACAGCTGCCGTTTTCACATGGGTTGGTGTTATGGGAGGTCTGATGTGGACTGGGGTAGGTGCTTTTGTTGTCTGTGTATGAGACACTTGCTGCTGTTGTTGTTGCTGTTGCAGCTGAGGCCGTACATGAAGAGGGGGGGTGGGTAGGGATGGAGTTGTTACTTTTACAGGTTGTGGCGACGGAGATGGAAGGGTGGGCGCTGCTGTTGAAATTGGAGACTGAGGTCGTAACGGTGCTGCTGTCACCATTCTAGTTGCTGGTGCTGGTGTTCTTACAGGCTGCAAGGACATCATCATTATCATTATCACTATCATCATCATCATCATCATCATCATCATCACCACCACCACCACCACCAACACCGCCGTGTCCACCCCTGACATTTTCTTACATGTAACCTCACACAGACAACTGCCAGACGGGAACAAATTATAAGGTTTAAAATAAGAGCCTTATAATTTGGCTGAATTTTCTATACTTAGAGAGTAATACACCACATTCAGTTCAGAATGCTACAAATCATATACCAAGGGTTACAACTATGCAAGCAACAAGTACTGCCAAGATACCTATTTAGTCCAATTTTAATTACTATTTACCTTTCGCATCAGTGTGATTACCCCACAGAAACCTGTGGAATTTGTGGGATGTGGTAACAAGGACTTGCAACTCAGCCTCACATTCACAAGTTTCTACACTGACCTAATAAGGGATGGTGCAAAAGCTGCATGAAATCTGGTTGGTCTTGAAACACTCCAGATTCTATGTTTGGCAATGTAAAAGTAAACATTCACAAATACAAGATCACTATCCTTTGGTTTAAGCTGATGAGAGGCCCGGCTGCTGCAAGTACTTGTAAGTATCATCTGAATAAAGAAACAAACAGACAACAACGAAGTGACTGCACCAACTCCTGGGTAGAGGCTCCACCCACAGGTGAGGGGGCTGCAATATGATGTACATTATATGGCAGAAGAGCTGTTCCTCAACCTACTATAAACCTGGTTTAACCCTCTCCATACCAAACACCATGGTGGCCCGGGTTCGATCCCGGGTCTGGTCAAGTGGGATGTGTGGTGGACAAAGTGGTGCTGGGGCAGGTTTTCTCTGAGTACTTCAGTTTCCCCTGCCAATCTTCTTTCCACCAATTGCTCCACACTCACCCTCATCTATCATCTGGGGCTGGTATAATAGGCCAGAAGTGCCCGCAGTACAAGGGACTTAGTCCCACCCCACTAGCAATAAAAGAAAAAACTTCACTGCCAATTTTGTTCAATTTGGAAATAAAAAAAAAACTTGCCACTATGAGCAGGAAGTGTTCAGGCATGCAATGTTAAATTTGGTACTGGAATATATTATTACAGTTATAAATTTCAGGCCACATGATATGACCAAAAGATTACAGTGTGCTTCTTGAAAAATGATTTTTTAAATCTTATAACATCAGCTACTCTTGCTCTCAGATTTTTGTAGCCTGTGCTGAAGGGTAACTGCGGCTTTCAAGATAGTTAAACACTGTAAGCCAAGTTACAAATTTATCACAAAACCTACTAAATCGTTTTGTACAAGGCAAAAGTTCAAAGGAGTATGTCATCAAAACAGGATTATTTTCTGCTAAAATTATCTACTGCATCGAAGAAATGTACACTTCATAACATATAAATTTTTCCTTCAGCGAACATCACCGACTGACGGGCAGATTTCATGTGGAAATACCTTAATGATACTAGATTTTGTGAAGAATTACATCTGAATTTGTACTCACAAAAGGGCATTCCTCTTCATTTGAAACTTGGGTTTAATGTTAACTGGAACTATGAAATGTCCAATATGGACCTAACACCAATTTGCACAGGAACATTTCATAAATATTTCCAATATCACTCTAAGTTCTCTCTTCTTCTGAAGTGAGATTCACCAAAGCCTCCTTGTATTAGAATCAGCAGAGACAAACATTTCTACATTTCACATAAGTTCTGGTTTAACACACAGGATGGAACATAATGAGACAAACTGAGGGCAGTAAATACTCAAAGCATACTCTTGTCCATTACACTTCTGTTGTACCTTTCCTTTTCTATGTTAAACTCTTCCCGCTTATTAGATGTAATTTTACATTAATCTTCAGAATTTTGTGACCAGACAAATCTGTTGATAAATGAACTGAGCCAGGTTCTGTTCTCACTATGTACAGCAGATATTCACTTGAATCGCTTTTCTTCTGCCTGTTAAGTTTGTGAATAGTGTCAAATTCCAAATGTTCTCACTTTCTCCTGTTCAAAATAAAAATTTTCATCAAACTTTTCAAGTACTCAGACTGCAGCATTATTCAGAAGCACCAAGCAGATGAGGAACGATATACTAAGCAAGCAAATATCCAATTATTTGAGGCGGAAGCATAAAGTCAGTAGGATAGCAAGAAGTGACCATAACTTAGCTGCATCTGTAGCTTATCACTATAAAGGTAAAGCTGTCCCTGTGCTTAACTAATTAAGCACTATACCATGAAAAGTGCATGGGGTAGTGGATGTACAGATCCACATTTTCTTGACCTTGGCTCTAGCTGGAGGTGAGTGGTCAGCTTCATGCCCCAGCTGCTTCACCCCCGGGTATAGAGCCCCTGGTACCCAGTGGATAGGGGGTTGCATGGACCTTAGAGCCAGTCTGGACAATGTGGAGAAGAGAAAATTCTTGACCCTACCAAGACACGAACTCTGATCTCTCAATCATCCAGCCCATAGCCAGCTGATATATCGACTGAGCTATTCCAGCTCCTTAGCTTATCAATATTAACAGTGCATAATTCTTGCCACCATTAAAAGTAACACACATATTCACTAATACAGTCAGTCTTCCCCACTCCATGTTGAATGAATCCTGGATTATTTAACTCTCAGTTTCAGGTACAAAGGTTCATGGAATCAAACAAGCTGGAAACACAATCACAACAGCTGGGTAGGTAAGAACACAGGAAAAAGTGGGCACGACCTACTGATACTAGCACAACGTCCGCCCAAGCCTGGCTCACAAGCGTGTTCTAGTAAAAAAATATCTTTAAACAATGAATCTGAGAAATATGGTTAAATTCTACAAAGCCTGAGAACCTCTGACATGTCTTTCTATTATATCACATGCACAGGACAAATCCCACCACACAGACTTAGCTCCATACCAAGTCAAATCAGAGAACAGCCTAACTGACATACAGCTCTGTTCTAAGACTTTCATTAGTGTCCAGCATGACAGAAGAAATACCAATGGAATTTTTGCACTGCAAATCAATCCACTATCAGCATTAGGTACATATTATAAATCTGGAGTGTTGTAATTTTGAGACTGCTTGCCCAGTAAACTACTACACAAATTTTACCAATGTCAAACACTTCCTCAGATAACTACAAAGAGCTGACAGAACATTTACAAGTCAGAGGATAGGTTATGAAGCATCAACAAATTCAGAGATATGGGCAACCAATATGCAGTGATACAACGCACCAAGCAATTGTCAGAACAAGGGCAAGTCACAACACATCACAGAGGAGCTGATTCCAGATCGAAAACCAGCAGTTTGTAAGCTGTTTACTGTTGCAAATTTAACGAATGAATATCAACATGAAACACGGTAACAGGTAACTGTTGACAAAAAAACATTTGATTTGTGCCCGGAATACAACTGTCAGAGGTTGAGGTTTTGATTTCAATAGCCAATACTAACCATTTCTTCACTCCATCCTGAGCAGAAATATCAAGTTGCAAAAACTTCTGAATAGTATAAACAGTATCCAGCATTCAAACAAGTGACAAGCACCAATCCACAGGCTTCCCACTACTCTAACACCAAATCTACAGTGAAACAATCTCAACTATTCTGGACTCTCTCATCCTCACTAAAAGAAACATACATCATATTTAAAAATCTGGCAGTGTAGCTTCAAAATTAACTTCACGATTACACTTACTGGGGGAGGGGGTATTATTGCAGAAAAACATGGTATATAATTATATGAACCTTTCTGCTTTGGGAGAGAATCTCTGTAAATTGAGGTCTGTCTCCTATCAGGCTAGGCTTCATTGGCTGATCACATAATTTAAACATTCAGAATTGTATACTGGTACATTCATATTACATAGGAATTTTTACATTAATTACAACATTCAATGAAAATAACGTCACCTTTGTTTTGAGCTGCAAACATTGCCCACAAATAGCCATACCAAGTCACTATCATGATTCACAGTTATTAATCATTATTTTGATTTCTAATTAAAGTGTCAAAGGTAAGCATCTCAGAACATGTACAATTTCTGAAGTAGCAATACTATAAAAGTTGTCCGTGGTTAACTAATTAAGCACTACGCCTTGAATGTGTATGGGGGGTGGGGTGGAGGATGCACAGATCCATATTTTCTTGTTCTCAGCACTAACTGGAGGTAAGTGGTCAGCTTCACGCCCCGGCCGCTTTACCCCTGGGGAAAGAGCCCGCAGTACCCATTGGATAGGAGGTTGGGTGGACCCCAGAGCTTGTCTGGACAACTTGGAGTAGAGAAAATACGTGACCCTACTAGGACTCAACCTCTGACCCCTTGATCGTCCGGCCCATAGCCAGTCGCTATACCGACTATGCTATCCCGGCTTGCAACCCAATACTACAGCAGAATTTAAATACTGCTAGATATAAGCAGGGTGGCAAATGGGATGTTCATTATATTGGTCACAGGCAAAGTGAAACTAGAATGCTAAGTTTATCTGTCACAATATAAATTGTATTGTATAAGCTGCACTTCTTCGTGCTAAATAAATAAGACCAGGATCTAATTTTGTGAAACAGAATTCACATTGACAGTGCCAGATTTTTTAACATTAGAACATGCAATTAAAAACAATATGACTGTGAAGTAACACACTAAAAGCATACAGTGTACAAATTACACACTGGACTCTTGGACACTTCACAGGACATTCTCTGAACCATCCGCCAAAGAACTATAAGAGAATTCTACTGACTTCCAACACAAGTACCTACCTTGCACATGATACTAATATCCCCAGAAACCAAACACTGAATCCGCAATTCTTACTGAACATGATACTTAAGACAAGGAAACACTAAAATTCAAAACTACACACATGGCTAATTAGTAGCGCACTCACTGATAGTAACCGTGGTATGATGCCAAATTACTAGTATATCGGTACCATTTGTTTCAAAATGCTGTTCTCACCGTAACAAGTCGGTGCTGTATTGTTTGACCAGGACGTGGGATTGTCGTTACTCCTACACTCTGAGTGGAGGCATTCACTGGTGCCATTACTCTAAGTTGGCTTGTTGGTGTCTGTGGCCTCAGCTGCGTCTACAAGATACACATATATCAAAGCAACTGTTCTTGAAAGAACAGCAAGTGACACCGATTGAAGCTTATAATCCACAAACTGATCTTTTCCAATGCGGAAATTTTGACTTACAGAGCTAATTTAACATAAAATACTACTGGGCGTTTAACAAGAAATTTTGTTGTTTAAACAAAATCGGTAAAGTAAGCAAAACTGTGAACCTTTTTAAATGCAATCCACAGAACATATTCACCAGCCCCTTATCAAACCACCATTCAACATTTCATACACTTCGTGCCTACACATAATCACATTCTGCTAATGATCTTATCATTCTAATGTGTTCAGACCTCTGCATCTGAGTATGGTGCATTTCCTAGACTGCAACTGACTGTCAGTTTCTGAACCCGTCTGTTGGCAGTCACAGGAGAAAATTACAGTAGTAGATTCCAGGTCTCCAGGTATGGTGGGTAGCTGCAAATATATCATATAAGCAGTTGCGGACGGCCGACAAGGGGTGGTCCTTCAGCTTGAAGGTTGGGAGTAGGGCCAAAACTCTTCACCATAAAAAATAAGCTTGTTATGAAATGTCATGAAATGCCTCGGACCTGGACGCATTATTTGGTAAACGACCTAAACTAAGGAAAATGGACATGATATTTGGTAGGCGGGACATAAGAAGTCTGTTTAAGGCTGGTTTGATCATGACAGCTGCAAAAGAAATATCATCATGGTTAACACTGCTGATGGAGAGGGGGGCCTCTGAGATTTCTAACTCAGCTTTGGATACAACAGATAGCCTGACACGATTTTAATGCACTTATTCATTATCGAAACTTCAAAAATTATTATTCAAAGAAGACCAGATTTGATCCTGGTCACTGTTTCCCCCGCCCTGCCAAAAAACAAGAACTATCCAAATATCTACGAAGGGGGACCCAAAAATAACCGGAAACGACCTGTTGCGCGTGCATGCTTTGTAGTTACGAGTTGTGCTGCTAGGTGGCGTTAGCTGGGGGTCTCCAGCGACTGTTAGTGAGCTGGCGTCAGTCTGAGTTAAGTGGTTTGTCTGTGGTGCTCTGTTGTGTGCGTTCCTGTTTCAACCCTTTGGCGATTAGTGAGATGGCCGACCAGAAGGAACAAAGAGTGTGCGTGAAATTTTGCTTTCTGTTAGGGAAAACTGCACTTCACTCTTCAAGTCGCGGCAAACATTCACGCAGTTTTCTCTTTGGTCATCTCCGAGCAAGCGAGGAACAAATTTTGCAGACACCAGTCTCATGTGCAAACCTTTGGTTAAAATTCGCTGGACCGTGCTCCATGAGATGTTCGTTTCCTCAGAAAGTTGGTCAATGGTCTTTCAACGATCTTCATCAATTTCACGCACACTCTTTGTTCCTTCTGGTCGGCCATCTCACTAATCACCAAAGGGTTGAAACAGGAACGCACACAACAGAGCACCACAGGCAAACCACTTAACTCAGACTGACGCCAGCTCACTAACAGTCTTGGGAGACCCCCAGCTAACACCACTTAGCAGCATAACTCGTAACTACAAAGCATGCGCGCGCAACAGGTCGTTTCCGGTTATTTTTGGGTCCCCCCTCATACATAAGAAGACCTGAAGACAGGAGTATACTGAGTACTCATATTGCTTTGTGTATCAAACAAACCTAAAACAGCAGACATCAACAAACACCAATCATGTTGCATTTCTAAACCAACTACTGTGATATACGAGGTTCTATTGGAAAGTTCCAAGAGCGTTATTTTTGTAACTGCCCCCGTGAAAGAGGATGAGAGGGGAGGCCAAGGTCACACTTCCACAAGCCTATTGCATCATTCTGCCATGTGAGGCCACACTGTGAACATGCATTGTTTTTACACGAGTGCTTTTTCAACTTCATGTTTCGTTTTGTTAGTGATGGACGGCAAAATTGAGCTACATGTCTGAATTAAGTTTTGCATGAAGCTCGGTAAATCTGCTACCGAAACCCTTGAAATGTTTCATGAGGCTTTTGAAGAATATTCTTTACGCTGGACAGCGGTTTTTGAATGGCATTCACATTTCAAGGCTGGTTGAATGTCAGTTGAAGATGACCAATGTTCAAGGTGACCAAGCACCAGCAAAATGACAAAAAATGTTGAAAAAATTCAAAAACTCATCCACAAAGACCATCACTGAACAACCCATGAGCTCGCGGATGTTTTGAAAAAGTGTCTTACATCCAAAAGGAATCACAAGTGGGACTTGATAGCATTAAGGAAAATGACTTTCACAGTTCCTTTGAAGCATGGAAAAAAATGATGGGATCACTGTATACATTCCCAAGGAGACTATTTTGAAGGAGATGGCAGCCAAAATTGAATAAGTTAACCCAGCATTCCTTTTCTGACCTAGTCCAGGAACTTTTCGATACACCTTGTAACAGTTATAGTTTAACATCTCATATTTCACATGACCAAATCTTTAATGTTCTGTGTACATCAAGCATCAATTGCTTCCCATGATTGCAACAGCCCACCGTACCACCAGACTTGCAGATCCCATGTGCATATGCTCTCTCTCCCATACATTCACACATTCATGCCATGCAGGTGCCCATTATCAGTAGCAGAGTTAGTCAATGTATATATTTACTGCACAAGTGCAAACCAAAGAACGTGAAGACCATGGAGAAAACACTGCAGTTTGACACATCAAATTATGTAAAGGCTATATTTTCACACAGATATAAAATTCTTAAACTTTACTGTACACCAGACTACAGTCAGTAGCCATTCTTCAACATTCTGCCCATACAGCAGTTTCATGTATTAAACTATTTAGTTTCCACTATATTCTGAAGTGACATAATATGTGTGCAATCCAGCAGTAACAGAGTTCTACATATTGCCATGATATTACACCATGGTAATCTTCCAGTAAACAAGTCAGTTTGAATTTTGTGGGTCAGGTAATCCTAAAGGTGCATTACCATCTTCAGAACTGAACCGAATATCTGTTGTTTTACACAGTACATGAGGATGGGCATCAATAATGTAAAACAATGCATCTGTAGGAAATATTACTATGCTTCTGCCAGTCTACGAGGGGGTACCAAAAAGAAACCGAACTTATTTTTTTTTAAACTTATTTATTCAAATTTTAAGCACAAACCTTCAATCCCCTTCAAAGTACTCTCCACTTACACTAATACACTTGTCTAGTCTTTTATTCCATTTTTCAAAACATTGTCTAAATTCATCTTTTGAGATGCTCGACAGTGCCTCCGTCGTTTTTTCCTTCACCTCAGCAACATCAGCAAAACGCTTTCCTTTCATGTCTCTTTTCATTCGAGGAAACAAAAAAAAGTTTTTGATCATTTCGGGACTCTTCTTTCAAAGCACAGCATGCTTCCACGCGACCTTGTTTTTGTTCATCAGTCAGCAGTCGTGGCACGAATTTCGCAGCCACCCTTTTCATTCCCAAATCTTCTGTCAAAATTCGCTGAACTAAGCTCCAAGTCACTCCCGACAGCTCCACAATTTCTTCAATGGTCCGTCGTCGATCTTCCTTGATGATTTCACGAATTTTTTCAACATTTTCATGTGTTCGGGCCGTGGAAGGACGACCAGAACGAGGTTTGTCATCAATTGACATTTCACCATTTTTTAAACGGGAAAACCACTCAAACACTTGAGTTTTCCCCATAGCATCGTCCTTGTACGCCGTTTTTAACATTTCAAGAGTTTCTGTTCCACTTTTCCCGAGCAAAAAGCAGAATTTGACCGCCGCACGCTGTTCACGAAACTCAGCCATTGCAAAAACGAAGATCACACAAAACAGTTGTTACTATAAACTCTGCCGAAACTAGTCCTTACCTTCTGAAGCAACGGTAGTCGGCTTATCGACTCAGGAATGTTAGCTCTATGCGTTCATAGCTGCAAATTGCGGTACTACAAAAGCTCTGCCCACAAAAAAATTAGTTCGGTTTCTTTTGGGTACCCCATCGTACACTTCCAGCATATTTAATGAACACAAAAACATAAAAAGGCAAAGATGTCTCCATGCTTAATTAATCAAACATCACACACTGAAGATGTACGGGGAATGCGGGTGAGTGGTCAGCTTCACATCCCTGCCACTTTACCTCTGGGGAGAGCCCTGGTATCCATTGGATAGGAGGCTGGGTGGGCCCAGAACTGGTCTTGATGCTATGAAGAACAGAAAAATCGTACCTCTGCCAGGACTCAAACCCCGGCCATGCAATCCATAGACTGTCAGTATACTGACAGAGCTATCCTGGCTCCTTTCAAGGAACATAACCTACTCTCATATTCTCACACTGGAGGGCAGGAGTTGACAAATACACTTGTTACTTTTCCTTAAATGACTAGCAAGTACAAAATTAATAAATTTTAAGTTTCCTAGTAAAACATTCAGATGTCTGAAAGCAATAAACATAATCTCAGTATCTATGAATGAAACTTATGTGCCATGAACTTGGCTGCCATTTGTTGATGCCTGATAATACTGTGCCCCAAACAGACACAGACAGACTCACATATCAGACTGAATGGGAAAGTCAAAGGTGTTCTCTGACAATCACAGATTCTGCCTCCACTGAAAAATACTGTGAACAGTAGCACAGAAGAGACTACTTCACTGCCACAAAATGACATAGGTTAATTTATTAAATACCTTGCATGAATTAAGCATCTTGATGTAGTATCAGCCTCTAACCTGAGGATATTCATTATTATGTATGGGCATGAATGCATTTAAAGGCATATCACAAACGAACACTATTTGTGCCTGGAAAAAAATCTAATTTTATCAGCTTATGTGCGCGCGCGCACGTCTGGGGGGGGGCATGTAAAGAGTGTAAAGACAGTGAGATTGAGGGTAAAAAAGAAGATAAAGCTATCCCCATAGCAGGCTGTGGAGACCCACAGGGTTGTGTCAAATTGAGGTTCCCACATTTTCTAGACAACCAGCTCACATGTAAGATTTGAGGCTTTCACGGCGGTGACTACGAAGAAAGCAGTCTTCTAGGATTTGGCACCGTGTATAAGTGGACCACTTATACACGGTGCCAAATCCCAGAAGACTGCTTTCTTCAACCAGCTCACAGATGGCTGGGAGGTTATCAGCCTTATGTACCGGCCACCCTTTACCCCCAGATGATTCCTGGTACTCATTTTTATTAAAGGCTGAGTCGACCCCAGGGTCCATTGTATGGCTAGAAGAATTAAGTGAAATGAGAAATCGAATGACTTCATTGGGAGTTGAACCTGTGACCTACTGGCTTGTAGCACAGTGCCCCAAAACTGAAAAATTACATACATAAGGGTCACACATCACTGGATAACCACACAACAAATGTCTACATGTTTAGTGCATGTGACCATGACTTCCTCCTTCCTGACAGAGACGAAGGAGGACTGCTACATAAACACTGAGGTTTCCATTGTTCACAAGTTGTTGCACTGTGTAATACATCCAGTTATGGTGCAATCTGTCTTCTTGGCCTCTGCCTGCATCCACTGAAATGCCGTCCATTTCTAAGATGGGGCACCAATGAAACAGGTTCATTATAAAAATGAGCAGCAGTTTAATCTGTCCCTGTATTGATCACATTCATCACATTTGTCAGCAGTATAGGAAAGGAAAGGCCAGGAGTAAAATCTGCAATGAATGTGGCTGGTCTCAAACCCAGGACCTTTTAGGCTGAAGTTCAGTGCTCTATCCCTATATAACTCTTCATGAATGTAAAATGTAAGCTGCTGTACGTAAAATGGTTCAATATTCGCTGTTCTATTANTAGCCTTCACTGCTCCTCATGTGGCCTCGATCGGACAATACAGAAAACGGCCATGTAATAAGCACCCTTGTTGCCTGGCGCTGTGTCGCTAGTAACGCTAGCAGTAGTAACCACTGTAACCACCGTCGTCTCTTGCAATCCTGTTTCCCTGCGCTGCCTAGCAACCCGCGGTACCCTTGGTGACGTCATCGCTGTTGACTCGCTTT